GGGCACACCCCCCCATAGAGAAGGGATAACTGGGAGGAGAGGGGACCCCCCCTGCTCCCCCGGCCAGGAGAGCCCTTTGCTGCAGCAGCAGGTCTAGGGGCACGGCCCAAGCGACAGAACAGCCACCCCTGCCCCTCTCCGCGTGCCGACTGGGGCTCGGAGCAAGGAGAGGGTCCCCAAGCCACCAGCCGCTCCAGGGGAGAAGTGACCATCCAAAGGCTGCCCCCGCAGAGGTGCTGGGGACCGGCTCAGACAGGGTGCTGGGACCTGGCGTCATCCCCACGCGAATGGCAGATGGGTGCAAATGCCCCAGCCTGACCATCGGCAAGGCACTCGGTGAGGTCCGGGACTCCAGTTTCCTCCAGGGTGAAGATGCCAGTTGTGCCTCCAGGCCGAGTAATTTCAGCTCTAGAAGGAACAGCGACCCCTTCGCAAGCAGAGCCCCCAGGAGCGTCGCAGAGAAGCGTGGGGAAGGGAGGCAACGGGAGCCCTCGGCACCAGGAGGACATGGACCTGTTGGAGCGGGGCCAGGGGAGGGCTACTAAAATGCTCCGAGGGCTGGAGCCCCTCTGCTGTGAGGCCAGGCTGGGAGAGTTGGGGGTGTTCAGCCTGGAGAAGAGAAGGCTGCGGGCAGAGCTGAGTGCGGCCGGTCAGGGCTTAAAGGGGGCCCAGAGGAAAGGGGGGGACAAGCTTTTTAGTAGGGCCAGCTGGGACAGGACAAGGGGGGATGGCTTTAAACTGAAGCAGGGTGGGTTTAGACTGGATCTAAGGAAGAAATTCTTTCCAGTGAGGGTGGTGAAACCCTGGCAGGGGTTGCCCAGAGAGGGGGTGGAGGCCCCATCCCTGGGACCATTCCAGGCCAGGTTGGAGGGGGCTGTGAGCAACCTGATGTGGTTCAAGGTGTCCCTGCTCCTGCAGGGGGGTTGGGCTGGGTGACCTCTGGGGGTCCCTTCCCACCCAAACCATTCTATGATAGGAGGAGGGGCGGGAAGCAGCGCTGCCCTGGCCATATCAAACCCGAGCAAGGCCACCATCGCCCGCGGGAGCGGCGGAAGGGAAGGACAGGCTTGCATCGGCACAGGGACGACCCAGGCGGTTCGTGCTTGGAAGAGGAGCGGACATCCCCAGATCCCACCGGAGCCCAAGGATGGAGGATGGAGGACATGGGCTCGGGAGCACCCCTACGCCCCCCATGCCAGGCTGTGTCGCTGCTCTAACGCAGCCAGACACGGGGATTTCTT